CTCTGTCACTATTTCTCTGCTTGTCTTCCGTTTCGCCTGGGAGCGATATTTATTCGGCGTTCTCTGACGAGGGTCCAGCTGTTTCTCGTCCGTCCGTGATTTCTGTGAAACGACGAGAGTTTGATTGCGGCCAGCTCCTCTCCTCTCCGCTCGGCTTGACTGATTGGACGGTCCAGAGCTCGGACGTCGAGTCACGCTTGCGAAAAATGTTCGCTGGGATAACCTGGACCCCGTCGATTCGCCCCGGATAGCGTAACGATTAGTAGTGATGGGATCCACCTATATTGCCGGTTGCCTCCAATTCCACTCCGCGGTTCACTTTGCGAATATTTTAGACAAATGCGCTCGTTCATTATGTCTCCCCTTTCGGGACTCGCATGCGAATTCTGAACTGGATACGAACTTTACTACAGTTCCCAATTTACTCGTACTGTCATCAATTATTGTGTCTATGTATTTCCACTATGTGATACTCCACCTATGTCTCTAGATTCCCAGATCCTCGATCTTCAAATTTTCAAACATCCAAATTCCTGAATCTCTGAATCTCTGGGGAACATTGGAGCAATGACGTGGAACATTTCTACATCACCAAATCTTCAGACTCTTAAATTCTCTAAACCGTTAATCTTCAAATTGTCAATTCTTCAATTCTTTCAATATCTCTCAATTCCCAATGAGAATCTCTCAATCCCCAAACACCTAAACTCCCAAATCTAAATTTCACAATTCGATGTTTCCAAATCTCCAAGCCTCCAAATCCTCAACCCCTCAAATTCCTATACCCTAAGTCCCTAGGTCCCCAAGCCCCTAGACGCTCTAATTCCTCGATCTCCCGTCCTTCACTCGCTAAATCCTCAACTATCCAAACACCGGAATCTTCAAATCCCGAAGTGTACCTGTTCAAAAACGACTACGTAAAGAGTTGGTCCGAAAAAAGTAGGAAAATCCATCGATCAAGCTGCAAAGACACCCGTAGATATCTACGCGTCGGTTTATCCGTCGAGATCTCGTCCATGGGTCGTGTCATCTCAATCGCTCTGCCGGTTGAAAAATTCCCTTCGTCTCCGCGTGTTCAGCTAATAAAATCATCTGCATCCGGGCCAGAAATTATCTGACGAATTCATCTGCTTATCGAGCAATAAAATGGCCCAGGCATCCTCCACGATATCCCGATGCTATCTCCTCCACCTTTGCCTCCTCTCTTACCTCTTCGTCTCGTGTAGGTGCCTAGACACATTGTGGCGCCATGCCAAGTCGAACACGGTCTCCTGTACGGATACACACACGCTCGTACGCGCACCACTCGTTCCTTTCTTGCCCGATTTTTTTCCTTTTTTATTTTTCGAGCCGGTCAATACGCTTCGTCCTACGAAGGAGACGGTGCGTTCCGCGTTCGAACGTCGGGGGCCAGTTCTTAATAAGGACCCTCCCTGCGATATTTATAATCCCGCGGGGAAACTGTTTTTATAATCTCGCCTAGGAATCTCGGAGCCTTCGGTGCGTGTGTTCTTCGCGTCGGATTCTTGCATTCGCGACGATTGCTTTCGGACTCACCCTTTCATCGCAACACCCTGAGATTGATCTCATCCCTGTCTACGCTCGATTACCTAATTTAGTACATAACTTTGTTAATTTTTCGTTAACCTTTGACAAAGTAATTTTCCCAGAATCTTTTTCCCCTAATTTCGAGTACAAATAGTTTGCAGAAATCCATTGTTCTTAAAGCGAAAGAAATTCGCGGGAATGACCCCGACGAGCACTAAAAATTCTCGTAAAAGCAGGTATAGGCGACGCAGTAAAAGGAACGTTAATTTCTCCGCGTTAAAGTTATTATTTATTGATACGACGTAATCTCTGAACCGAGATCAAGGTGGATGCTTAGTTGGTCGATATTCACCCGAAACTTGCGAGCCAAGCGGATTCCTCCGGGCATTTTATTATCTCGATCGTTCATAAATTTCGTTACAATACAAGTATAAAGTATCCACCGCCTCCGCGATACGAAAAAGGTCGTCCTGGGTCCAGGTGGGTCCTTCTCGTGTAGCATTGTCATCGTTCGGGCCACTTTTCAATAATCAATTATACGACTCTACAATCGTATATTTATGAATTTCTTTGCGATCAAAAAGGAAGAGGTTACGGGGATTTTAACGTCTTCCATAAAATTCGATGCCTACTCTTTTAAAGTTCCTCCATAATTACTGTTTTTAACACTCATGAATTTCTGAGGGACTGTCGTACTTTATTCTAATAATTTTTGTAAATATTTATTAACGATGAAGTTACAGGAGTTTCAAATTTAGATAAGCTATCATCCAGACAAATTTTCAATAAATTTAGTGTGGCACTTAAAACATCTTCTCTTAAAAATAGAAATACTTTGTCACATGATCAATATATTCTAGAACCTTTTATTTTTTTTTCAATAGAACATAGGGAAATCATCTCGAATATAAAATCATCTCGAGTTTTAAAAGAATTGAAAGAGTAGCCTAGGGAGATCTGTTCATAGTGCACTGGGTGAACAGAAATGAATTAACCAAGTGTTCTAATATATCGCATCATCAATATATTTTAGATCTTTGCAAAACAAATATAATATGATACAGGTATGGTCGATGATCGAGAGCGCTCTCTCCTCCGCCAACCTAAGCATATACACAACGAAAAATAATAATTATTACAAATAATGTTAGAATCGCCTTAGTCGCGGCCTATGCTCTTTGTATTTACAGGATATCACACATAATAAAAATCCTAGTACATATTTTACATTTCGTAACACACCTCTTCTCGACTAACTTAATAACGATATTATTTACATTCGACGCCCGTTGTTGATTCGACAAGCACGACCGTGCTACATTGTTGCTTTTCATTTCGCTATCAACGGCTCAATTAGACTCGGGTCCACGAGAAACACCGGCGATTGGTCGTGCTCCGATGGAACAATTAAAAGCCAGAACTCGCAGAGCTCGCACAATTGTTTCGCTCGGAGAATTGATAAATCGAGAGGCACGAACTCGGCCAGAGTTACGTGAATCCGGGTACGGTCAATTGTTAGATTTCATTCGTGACGTTATGGGTACAATCGGGGGCAGTGTACGCTACTTTTGGCTGGGTAGGGTTCCATGTTTAGGATTCCCAACTCTCAAGGTTCTAAGTTTCTAGATTCTTAAATTTTCGAATTCTACATTTCCTGAATTCTTGAATTTCCAGATTCCTAAATTTCTAATTGCTTAATTTTCTGAATTCCAAATTTTTAAATTCTCAATCCCCCAAATTTTCAAGCCCGCAAATTCTTAAGGTCTCAAATTCTCAATCTTCTAAATTCTCAATCTCCCAAATTCTAAATCTTCCAAATTCTCAATCCCCCAAATTCTCAATCTTCTAAATTCTCAATCCCCCAAATTCTCAAGCCCCCAAATTCTCAATCCCCCAAATTCTCAATCTCCTAAATTCTCAAGCTCCCAAATTCTCAAGAAAGAATTGAAAGAGTAGCCTAGGGAGATCTGTTCATAGTGCACTGGGTGAACAGAAATGAATTAACCAAGTGTTCTAATATATCGCATCATCAATATATTTTAGATCTTTGCAAAACAAATATAATATGATACAGGTATGGTCGATGATCGAGAGCGCTCTCTCCTCCGCCAACCTAAGCATATACACAACGAAAAATAATAATTATTACAAATAATGTTAGAATCGCCTTAGTCGCGGCCTATGCTCTTTGTATTTACAGGATATCACACATAATAAAAATCCTAGTACATATTTTACATTTCGTAACACACCTCTTCTCGACTAACTTAATAACGATATTATTTACATTCGACGCCCGTTGTTGATTCGACAAGCACGACCGTGCTACATTGTTGCTTTTCATTTCGCTATCAACGGCTCAATTAGACTCGGGTCCACGAGAAACACCGGCGATTGGTCGTGCTCCGATGGAACAATTAAAAGCCAGAACTCGCAGAGCTCGCACAATTGTTTCGCTCGGAGAATTGATAAATCGAGAGGCACGAACTCGGCCAGAGTTACGTGAATCCGGGTACGGTCAATTGTTAGATTTCATTCGTGACGTTATGGGTACAATCGGGGGCAGTGTACGCTACTTTTGGCTGGGTAGGGTTCCATGTTTAGGATTCCCAACTCTCAAGGTTCTAAGTTTCTAGATTCTTAAATTTTCGAATTCTACATTTCCTGAATTCTTGAATTTCCAGATTCCTAAATTTCTAATTGCTTAATTTTCTGAATTCCAAATTTTTAAATTCTCAATCCCCCAAATTTTCAAGCCCGCAAATTCTTAAGGTCTCAAATTCTCAATCTTCTAAATTCTCAATCTCCCAAATTCTAAATCTTCCAAATTCTCAATCCCCCAAATTCTCAATCTTCTAAATTCTCAATCCCCCAAATTCTCAAGCCCCCAAATTCTCAATCCCCCAAATTCTCAATCTCCTAAATTCTCAAGCTCCCAAATTCTCAAGCCCCCAAATTCTCAATCTCCCAAATTTTCCATCCCCCAAATTCTCAATCTCCCAAATTTTCCATCCCCCAAATTCTCAATCTCCCAAATTTTCCATCCCCCAAATTCTCAATCTCCCAAATTTTCCATCCCCCAAATTCTCAATCTCCCAAATTTTCCATCCCCCAAATTCTCAATCTCCCAAATTTTCCATCCCCCAAATTCTCAATCTCCCAAATTTTCCATCCCCCAAATTCTCAATCTCCCAAATTTTCCATCCCCCAAATTCTCAATCTCCCAAATTTTCCATCCCCCAAATTCTCAATCTCCCAAATTTTCCATCCCCCAAATTCTCAATCTCCCAAATTTTCCATCCCCCAAATTCTCAATCTCCCAAATTTTCCATCCCCCAAATTCTCAATCTCCCAAATTTTCCATCCCCCAAATTCTCAATCTCCCAAATTCTCACCCCCCAAATTCTCAATCCCCCAAATTCTCCATCCCCCTACTTCTCACCCCCCAAATTTTCAATCCCCAAATTCCGAAACTCCCTACTTTCCAAACATCCAAATCCCCAAAGTTTCAAATCTCCACTCCCTAAGTTAAAATTTACCAACCAGCGATAACTCCCCTTTGAAGTCGCCATTTTGCTCATAGAAGCGTACGCTGCCCGCGAGTGTACATTCGTGTTCGACTCCTCGTGACATCTCTTTCTCTCTGCCTATTCTTCAGCGTCCACGTTGATTTACGTTAATCGTATTTACAGTCCTCGCACCTCGCCGCTCGGATAGAGGTAACTTTCTTTTTGGTTCGTGGTACACCGAACTATCGTAATTTATTGTACACCTATCGTAGAGATCGCCCGTGGATACAGGACGAAAATCGTCTCTTGATTGATTTAAAGACAATCACCATGAGTCCAGAGAAAATAAATACTAACGACAGTCGAGTTCGTTGGAAACTTTGGTCACGAGTATACAGTACTTTGTCATTGGGTTATGGGCACCATGGATCTTCTACTGTGTCTCCTTAGTAAAATATCGAGAAACGTTACAATCTTTGCACTGTTTGGAGTCTCGTTAATGAAATAAGACGTGATTTGTGTTCAGTGTTGTGTTAAATTTGTGTTTCAAGCCCTTCGAACCTGCTGTCAATAGCCAGAGATCAGTTAAATAAAATTGATAGATACATTCGAAGGGTGCCCAGAACGGAGTGACAGGGTACTGTACCTTCGTCTATGATTTTGTCGCCGATAAACTAGAAAACTCGTCTGATCGAGAGTCGTCCAAGGTTCTTGCGGAATCAAAGACTCCACGCATCATTCGAGGCACTGTCACGATAACCAGCAATACCCTCGTTCTTCAAAACGTCCCTTCCGCTCGCCTCGGGTCGCGAAAATGGAGCAACCAGGTTCATCCCCTGGGTCCGAATCGAAGTTGCTAGATCGATCTCTCGAAAGACTGGTCGACCTAGTAAGCAGTCGCCTGATGATGCATCAGCGGGTTGAAATGATGCGGGCCAAGATGATGGGGTGGCGGAGGTCCTGGCAACGGACTGTGCTGAGGACCCACGGTCGGAGGCTGACAGACGTACCATTCCGTCAATTCCGGGCCTCTGGTCGAAGGATGACTCGACGGTGGGTTGGTCGTGGTCGTTGTCGGGACAACCGGAGGCGGCTGAGGAGACTCCGTGTGCCCGGTCACGGACAAGCTACCCCCGCTGCTGCTGCTCTCTTCACCCTCGCTCTCGTAGCCCCCTCCTATCTTGCCCTCGCCCAGGGTCATGCCGTGCACCTGGAACAAGAGGCGGAGCCTAACGTTACACGCTTGCGGGAAATTCGGTTGGCCCGGTCCTTACAAGGATACTAAGGGTACGGCTAGGGTAGCTAACTTCGCATAGGTAATTATATTAGACGGTGCAAGCAATAATTTTGCAAGGTTGCACACTTTGATTTGTAATTTTAATTTAATTATGATTGGGTTTGAGTCTGCCAATGTTTTACGATTTTACTATTTATATTGTCTTTATAAATTTGGACGGTAAATAACTTAACCTGATTTGAATGACAAAACCTGGTCTAACCTAACAGGCTTGAGTAGCGACACCTATATAGTAGATTCGAAACCTGTCCTCACCAATAACCTGATAGACTTGTATGGTAAAATCTAAGCTAACCTAACAGGCTTGAGTAACGAAACCTATTTTAGTCTAACAGATTTGAATTACGAAAGGTAAATCTATCCTCACTAATAGATTTGAGTGACAAAACCTAACATAACCTCATAGACTCGTATGATAAAACCTAATTTATCCTAACAGACTTGAGTAACGAAACCTATTTTAGTGTAACAGATTTGAACTATGAAAGGCAAACCTATCCTCACCAATAGATTTGAATGACATAACCTAACTTAACCTCATAGACTTGTATGATAAAACTTAATCTAACCTAACAGACTTGAGTAACGAAACCTATTATAGTCTAACAGATTTGAACTATGAAAGGCAAATCCATCCTTATCAATAGATTTGAGTGACATAACCTAATTTAACCTCATAGACTCGTATGATGAAACCTAATTTATTCTAACAGACTTGAGTAACGAAACCTATTTTAGTCTAACAGATTTGAACTATGAAAGGCAAATCTATCCTCACCAATAGATTTGAGTGACATAACCTAACTTAACCTCACAAACTTGTATGACAAAAACCTAATCTAACCTAACAGACTTGAGTAACAAGGCCTATCTTAATCTAACAGATTTAAACTATTGGGGGTAAACCTACCCTTACTAATAGATTTGAGAGACAACCTAACTTAACCTAACAGCTCTGAATAATAAAACCTAACCTATCCTAACAGACTTGGGTAACAAGGCCTATATTAATCTAATAAGTTCGAACTATTGGGGGTAAATCTACCCTCACCAATAGATTTGAGTGACCTAACTTAACCTAATATCTCTGAATAATAAAACCTAATCTAACATAAAACCTACTCTAACAGATTCGAATACGAACCTCAATGTAAGATACCCAACTGACAAAACCTGACCTAACCGAATAAATTAGGACGATAAACCTAACCTTATCGTGTAAAGATCGGCGAGAATCGCGAGCAAAAAGGAGTCAGAACCGAAGAAAGCCGGGATCACGAAGGCTCGAAAAGTTTCCCTCTTCTTTCTCTTTCTCTGTCCAGCGTCCTTCGTTCATAATTCAGTGAGCAAATCTCGACGACTGCCTTCCGCGAATCACGGCTGGCGAAAAGCGTGGAGAAGCGAAAGGTTCCTATCCGACAAACCTATCGCGCACGTATCTCGGGAGTTGCCTTTTGGAAGCATCCTTCTCTCTCTCTATTTTTCTGTGCCACAGATAATTTCCTATTAAGATTCCGTGACCGTTCGTGCATGAACTTTGCGCACGGATAGGCAACCTCTCTTCCCATGAGCGTTTTTTGCCTCGCCTCGTGTCCACTAACGTTTACCTAGCGTGAAACGATACACCCCGATACGTTCTACGTTTTATGCATCCTGCGCTACGATCGATCCGAGAAAACACCAGGAACGCGCGAACGGGGCAATTGACAGGTTCATTATGCAAATTCCGAGGAATCGATATTACAGATAGAAACGAGACTATGGGCATATGCAAACTGACCTGGTGCCATAAAACTTTAGAAATTTAACTCGGTAGCAATATCTTTTGGTTAATATCAGGATATTGAGCAATGGGAAACACTCCGCGATAGAGGTGTGGTACATGTAGGATGTTGAGACATTTTTACTTCTGACGTACGAGATCCTTTTATATATAAATTTTAATAGAATCGTCATATTTATGTTCAAAATCTAGGTCGCTAACTAGCCTATAAGATGATCCACTCTTTTCATAAACCTAACTAAATGTATACTCTAAATTAATTTTACATCGCAAGAGAAGAATGTTGGTGCAATTTCGATTACACCTCAGTGAATGATAGTAGACGTACCTTCATATGCTTGCGCAACGAACTAGGATGGGTGTAGGACTTGTCGCAGCCGGAAACCCGACAATTGTAAGGCTTGTCGGACGTGTGGACGTGACTGTGCTTCTTGCGATCGCTGCTGTTCGCGAACCGCCTCTCGCAGCCGGAGTATTCGCACTTGAACGGTTTCTCTCCTGGAAAAAGAAGACGGGAATTAATGACTTTGTAATTGAGCTTGTGAACTCTGTTCGCGCGTGTCGACCTCGGATAATTGAAAGCCGGTTCGGAGATACGATTCGATAATCGATCGTGATCGCCATGTACTACTTTTTGTTTTTGGTAATTCAGATTTCACCGCGATTATTTGACGCATACATGTTTAATTACTAGATGATTTATTATTGGGCTGTTGGGTTAGGTGTTTGGGAATGTGGAATTTTGCGATTTGGGGAAAATATGAATTTGGGAATTTAACTGAGGGGATTGAAAGTTGGGGGTGTTCGAGAAAGGAGTTGGAGAAATTGGGAACTTGAGGATTTGGGTAATGAGAGTTGGGGAAATTGAGAAATTGGGAAATTGGATTTGGGGGAATTAGAAATTAGGAAAATTGGAATTGGGGGAATTAGAAATTAGGAAAATTGGAATTGGGAGAATTGAGAAATTGGGAAATTGGAATTGGGGGAATTGAGGAATTGGGAAATTGGAATTGGAGGAATTGAGAAATTGGACAATTGGAATTGGGGGAATTAAAAATTAGGAAAATTGGAATTGGGGGATTGAGAAATTGGAAAATTGGAATTGGGGGAATTAGAAATTAGGAAAATTGGAATTGGGAGAATTGAGAAATTGGGAAATTGGAATTGGGGGAATTGAGGAATTGGGAAATTGGAATTGGAGGAATTGAGAAATTGGACAATTGGAATTGGGGGAATTAAAAATTAGGAAAATTGGAATTGGGGGATTGAGAAATTGGAAAATTGGAATTGGGGGAATTGGAAATTAGGAAAATTGGAATTGGGGAATTTGGGAATTTGGACAATTGGAATTGGGGGAATTGGAAATTAGGAAAATTGGAATTGGGAGAATTAGAAATTAGGAAAATTGGAATTGGGGGAATTAGAAATTAGGAAAATTGGAATTGGGGGAATTGAGAAATTGGAGAATTGGAATTGGGGAATTTGGGAAATTGGACAATTGAAATTTGGGGAATTAGAAATTAGGAAAATTGGAATTGGAGGAATTGAGAAATTGGAGAATTGGAATTGGGGAATTTGGGAATTTGGACAATTAGAATTGGGGAATTTGGGAAATTGGACAATCGGAATTGGGGGAATTGAGAAATTGGAAAATTGGAATTGGGGGAATAAGGAAATTGGAAAATTGGAATTGGGGGATTTGAGAAATTGAAAAATTGGAATTGGGGGAATAAGGAAATTGGAAAATTGGAATTGGGGGATTTGAGAAATTGGACAATTGGAATTGGTAAAATTACAAAATTAGAAAAATTAAAATTGCGAAGATTGGAGTTAGGCAAATTAGAAATCTAGAAATTTGACAACTAGGACAATTAAAAATTTGAAAGTTCCAAATTAAGGAAAGTTGCGAGTTCGAAAACTTTAGCACCATACATGAACAAAGAGTATCAGAATGATGCAAGAAGAGGAAAAGTAGCCGAGGGCAAAGAGGAAAAGCTCACGGGCAATGGCGGTGTCTGGTAGCGGCTCTGTAGCGATTACATCGTATCGCGAAGCGTTTCATCATGATTTCGCGGATATCTTGATGAGCAACGGTGGAACATTCTCCGGCTCCTCTTCGGCCTGGGGCGAGAAGCAGAGCGATATCGAGAGATAAGCTCCCCTGCACACGAATGGCCGCCGTCGTCGGGGCGCAACGAAGACCGTGTGGCGTGACTCTCTTATTTATTTCCACCGGAAGTTGACTGGAATATATTTTACCGTCGGCTCACACCGCCTCTCCTACCCCTTAGCCGTGGACTCCCTTTTCCGGGACTTCCTCCTGCCGTTCTATCCGAGAAGTGTGGAGACGCGCGAACAGGAAGCGCAAACTTGGCGGATTTTTTATGGGGAAAATGGTGGCCAACTTTGTCCTCCCTTCTTGGAGCCTTCAAAAGCTCCAGGAAGAAGGGAAAAGGGAAGCTGTTTCAATCCGAGATTCGCTTTGGCGAAACGGAAGAATCAGCAACCGTTGCTCCTTTTATCGAGGCTTTTTTATTTCCTATTTTTGTTATTTATCTTCTTATTAACGGATCGGGATGTTACGATCTTTGATCTGCTTTTAATCTTTCCAAACGTAGGTTTCTTTCTAGACGGCTATACATTGGTTAATGATCACATATGTGTATACGTTTTCATTGAATGTTAATATTGTTAACATTGAAACTTTCGCTAGAATTGCAGATAACTTCTTTAAGAATCTGAGTAGATCTCCATTTATACATTCTACATAAAGTACCAGTACAGTGTCAGACTTACGAGAGGTTGCGAAACTTCGAGAACTTCTGTCTGCTCAGTTTGCAATGTGAAGTTTCGGACAGTGGTAAACGCGACAAACCGAGTTGCGATAACTTCCACATTAAATACTTCAATTTTAAAAGCACAAATCAGAGTGTAATACTCCCTCTCAAAAATTAGCAACCTAATCTTGCATGGCAAAGTTAATATCAATTAATCCGCGTCACAGATTTCTCAGCAAAATGTTCCAATTCCGAAAGATATCTAAAGTCAGATTACCGGGATATTATTGCAAAGTACAAATCACGTTACACGAAAGAAACGATGACTCTGCGTTACACGATGACCCGACATTTTCTTAGTTCGTTTTTCTAAATAATTTGCAATTTAGAAGCTCGTTAGCGAGGCGTATTTTTGTACGTAAAGGAGGGTTGGTTCGGGCAATAAACGCGATAGGTGGTATCGCGTGGAAAGTCGACAGCTGGCCGACAACGGCAAAGAAGCGTGGTAAGTTTTCGCGCGGCGCGACGTGGCGTCGACCAGCGTCGTTATTCATCTCACGTGTGAAAAGCGCGATAACATTGCCATGTACCGGTGACGTATCACCGCGACACAGATTATATTTAAATCGCTCGGACGTGGAGTGCGGGTACTTATGGCAGCGCCGTCATAAGGAGCCGTCTTAAATATTTATGAAGCTGGAAAGATAGCGGGGCCCGCGCGCCGCCGGTGTCGCCGGGCTTATCTGACGTTTCACATGACTATGCTTCAACCTCCCTCTCGGCCCGACACTCGCGATTTCACTGTTTGCGATTTGCCACGCGTGCTCGACGAACCGCAATCGCGAACCGTATCGAGAAACTTTCGTTTCGTTTATAACACCTTCGAGATTAGCCTCTATCGAAACTTTGCTCCACTTTAAACTGGACGCCATTTGTCACTCGAATTCAATTTGTTCCTGCTCGTTCTGACATTTTTCTGGTTCGGTTGCCCTTTTGCTTCCGTTCACAACATTTGCTAAATTGATACTGGATTTACTTATGAATTGCTGACTGACTTTAGATAGACGTTGCCACCCGGTCACGCATTCTCATCCACTAGGTTTCCCATGTTTTCTTGCTACGTTCTGTCGTCACGTGTTAGATCATTCGATCACCTTGTTGCAACGTGTGAAACGAGACGTAGAATCGGAAATGACCACATGTAGAATAACCATAGGATGTGTCACTTGTAAATGTAGAAGCTGGCATGGAATCTAAACGAGAATGTAGAATCGCAACGCGTGAAATCTCGCAACATTTTCAGTGTGAAATCACGAACCAAAGAACTGCCATGTATAGACTTGTACCGTGTAAAATTTCCACGCGTTTGTCAATCGTGTTCTCTACAAGACGCTGCACATCACCAATTGATACATTAAAACTCTCGCCATCGATGAAAAATCACCTTCAAACCGAATTCCAAACTTCTAACCACCATAAGCTTCTTAATCACCATAAGCACGACAGCAACGAAAGCAAAGATAGTTTACCCGTCTTCGACGTTCCACGTGCCACGATCGTCTGGGATTCATTCGATTCTCGTTGAATCGTCTCGGTCTCCACCTACCGATTCGCACCTCCTCGAGGAACCCCTCTGTAACCAATCGAAACGAGGGTTCCATCGAGGTGGTAACGAAACGACGCCTGGTTACAGTACAAAAGGAGAGAGCGAGAGTCTAACCTGGCTGTTGTTGGTCTCTCGCGGTCCTTCCAAAAACGGGACGATTAATAACTTTTCAAATCTGTCCCCGGCAGGGTCGTGAGGCCGCCGGGACCGCTTCGGTAGCGAGCACGTTGGCAAATAAATAGCAGATAAATAAAAGCTCGCGTCTCTCCTACGTCGTGCATTCTGTCGTGAGCGCAGGGTTGCGTGTGCAGATGGCAACAATATGCCGTGAAATATTGCCCCCGTTGGTCGTGTGCTGAGCGGTGCACGCGTGTGCGTGTCTCGTCCAATGGGAAGAGTCTCTGGGATACACGCGCGATATACACCGGGATGCTTGTCTCTCCCTTTACCTGTGCAAGCGACAGGATTCTTCTTCGAAGGGAGAGGACTGGCTGCTCGCAGGAAACCGTACGGGCATGCTCCAACGTTTCTACGTAAATCCTCCTTGTGTGACGGCTGAGACGCGGTAAAGACTCCTCTTCTCACACTTCGTACACCCAACGATCGTAAATAATTAAACGAGAACGCCACTTTCGTAAATCGAATTCACCCGATATTTCACCAGGGATATGTTAATGGTTCTACCTTTAATTAATGAATAGCGTTTTCAAATTTTTCCAAGCCTGAATTTAAATCTTTCTTGTGGTAGGTGATCTTCAATCTTGTGTGCTTTCATATTAAACCGTAGGTACTTCTGACAGTCAAATGATTCATATTCTATTCCACAGGATCATACACAGATATATACCAAATTATATTCGACAATTTTTAAATAAAATAACTACTTCAGTTTTCCATGGTTGTTATCTCTAGTTTGAAAGACAATCACAGGCACAATTTAATCGACACAAAATTATCAATCGTACGTAGAGTCGCATTCGAAGCTCATCGTAGTGGAAGAGACTCGAACGCACACGGAGAAAGGGACACAAACTCGAGATTCATGGTGCAGCGGGTTATAGAGTGGTGGTGCAGGCAGAAAGGGAGCCTCCCGAAAGAGCAGTTCCCGAAGGGCA